CTCCCAGCCATTTTTTAAAATAGAAAGTTGTAGATATCAGTGCCCAAACTGAGATGGAGTTATTGGCAAAAAATAGATGGCTAAGATAGAGAACTATTTTCCAATTTGAAAAATACCTGTCACAATTCTTAAGAAGGGCCTATTCTAAGAAAGATTTGAGTTGGATTCCATGCCCAAATATAGCCATTTCCATCACCTACCATATTGAGAGAGGATGTGTACATGCAGTGTCCCATGAAATATAATTTCCATAGAATTCTAGGTAAATAATTGGATGAAATGTTTTGAATTAAAAATTGGTAATACTAGTCTTCTAATGAGCAAGAGTTGGCCTAATCTAAGACCTTCATTCAGATCTTTCCAAATGTGATTGCCTTGAAATTTTCTTTCATTTCTGAATTCTTCAAATAGAACAAAGTTATATTGTAAAATTCATTATATAATGGACCTTTAAAAGAGGATTAGACAAATCCATAGACTACAAAGACATAGATGGTTTTTAGTAGCTATAAATTCGTTCCAAAATCAGAGGCAAAATATTTTTTCTGGGAAATATTTATGCTCTGCCGGCATCCCATAGGAAGTTGCTCATCTGCTGTGAGAAAAGAAAGTTGAATCCATATAGTATCTTGTGTTTGTTATAATTGGTGTTGACACTACACTGTTTGAAACATTATTATTATTTATAACCTTTCTCCATGGAGAATCTGGAAGGGTTTGTCTAAAAAGATCACCCAGTGTACAGAAACAACTTAGGACATCACCAGCACACTGATGCATTCTTCCATCAGAGAGCAGATCATTTTCACTTATCTGACGTTTTCATGCTCTACAATGATATATGTTTTCTGATAATTTGCAAGAAGTAGCAGAAGCTTCTCATGTTTATTATGGGGAGGTGTTACAAGAAACTTGCTTTCTCCAGATACTTATGTGGTTATACTAAGTCATATATCTAACATAATGCAACTTATTTTGCCCCAGATGATTCTAGATAAATAACTGGACTAAGTTTTCAAGTGAAAAAACAGCAATTGTAGTCTTCCAAGAGCCAATCTGGTATGGTGGTTAAGGCACCAGTCTAGAAGACGGGAATCGATGAGTTCTAGTCCTGCCTTAGACACAAACCCAGTTCGGTGACCATATGCCAGTCACTCTTTATCAGTCTTAAGAAGCAGGCAAGAGCAAACTACTACTGAAATCCTACCAAGAAAACTACAGGAACTTCTCCAGGCAGTCATCAGGAGACAGCACTGACTTGAAAGAATCATTCCCCCACCAAGAAGTCCTCTATGGCCAAGAATTGAGTTGACTGGGAAGATCCTTGTTCAGATCATCTCAAAACACCCTGAAGATCATAGGCTTCTGAACTTGCCTATCTGCAGTAATCATTATAGTTCTGGCCTATTCCCTAACTATTGCAGTAGCGTCAAGACTATTTTTAATGACTTGCCTCATAATCATGTTTATATTGGATATTTAAAATAGCTGGATATTTTTTTGTACATTACGATGTGTATTTTATTGGATACACACTGAAAAGAAAAGGCATGTTTCAAAGTACATATTTCAAGCACAAAACCCCCCAGAAAATCAGGTAGTTTATACAAACCTTGAAAAATGTAGAAATCTGAGTTGGATGAAAGAAGGCAAAATCAGAACACAAGCCTATCCTCTATACAGTTTGACTCATTTGAAAAGCAGAGTGTTGTTTACATACAATCAGAGAAATGGCCTGTCTTATACAAAAGCTGAATACAAAGCAAAAAACGCATGTATGAATACAGATAGTACTCAATTTACATCCACTCATTCAAGTTTGAAATTACAATGGCAATTACAAAGGGATTTACAATCTATATCTAAAATTATGGCTACTATATGCCTGACAGTCACATGAACAAAATTAGGGTGCTTTGCAATCTGCCACTCTTACGACTGACCACAGGATCACTGCAGTTGCCCCTACCTGCCTATCTTCCCCTTCATCCCGCCCTGCTGGGTCCCTTAGGCCTGTTTCCTGCCTCAATGGGTCCCATATCCTTGGGCTTCCTTCCCCCCCCCAGTCATGACTTGTTCCACTTACCTTTTCCAATGATCACATTTCCCAGGGAGAAGCAGCTGATGTGCCATGTGGCTTTACCTAGATAGAAGCCACGTGATGGCATCCTGGAAGCAGGTGCCATTTTGGAAGGTGGTGCAATTCTCACATTCTGAGAATTGCAGCCTCTCCCAAAAGGGTACCCATTTCAGGGATGGCATGAAGCAAGCTGTGTATAGGAAGGCTGAACAGCGGATAGACTGCTGCTTTTTCTGAAAAGTGATCTCTGAAGATCAACCTTTTGAAAAAAGCTGATCTGCCATTTGGTCTTCCTATAAAAGGGCTGTGTGGTGCCATTCCAAAGTAGGTGCCATTTTGGGAGTGGCAGAGGCCACTTTAAATCATCCTGGAGCAGGCGCCATTTTGGGAGCGGCTATAATTCTCGAATCCAAGAATTGCGCCCATTTCCAAAATGGTGCCTGCTTCTGGAATGACACTATATGGCTTCTGTATAGGAAAGCAGCTCAGCAGATCAGCTGCCTTTCTGAAAGGCAATCTTCAGAGAGAGCCTTTCAAAAAAAGCAGCCAGTCCACTATGCAGTGTTCCTATGCAGGGGTTGCTTTGGGTTATCCAACTTCCAAAATGGCACCTACTTCCAGGATGGTATCATATGGCTTCTGCACGATGAATCTCCTTGGGTAAGGTGGCTTTCAGAAAAAGTAAGTAGAGCGGGGTAGGGGGTTTCCAAGGGTGTGGGACCCAGAGTGATGGGAAGCTGTTCAAGGGAGGCCTCCAGATTGGGGGGGGGCTGGTCCAATGCAGGACAGGTGTGATTTGGGGAGGTGCTGTAATGTGGGCCTGTGTCTGACCTCCCAGGACCGTTACCAGTCTCTAAGGGATCCATTGGTCCATTTAATAACCACAATGGAGAGATTGCATGATGGTCATTAAGTGAGGCAATCATGTGGACTCAATTACAACCATAAATCCGGGCTCAGTTCTGGTCATAAGGCGAGGACTACCTATACTGCACAGAGAGGTCCAGAGAAGACATTGTTCATGTGTTTCATTTCAAAAGGGCAAGGGACTGGAACTTTAGCTTATGTGACTTGGAGGAGAAGAGGTCAAATTCACGCTAGAAGAATTGCCATCTCCCTGGTCCACACTTTCGATGTTGCTGCTGCCATCTCCCTGGTCCACACTTTCGATGTTGCTGCTGCCATCTCCCTGGTCCACACTTTCAATGTTGCTGCTGCTGCCGCCTCCTCCTACTGCAAAGTAACTACCTCTGCCCAGGCTAAAGCCACTTCTGTAGCCACTTCTGTAGCCAGCAGCCGAACTTCGTGAAATATGTGAAGAGATAACAGCTGCGAAAAGAAGACACAGACTTAGAGAAGAGCCCAGGCATTTTCTGTTCTAAGAAAGACAGCTACTGGTACCTTGTAGAAATTATAAGAAGGGTAATCACTATGGACTCTGTCAAGTCCATCCTTCCTATAGGACCTTCAAACGTTCCCCAAAATTAAATGATTTTGAAACTTGTTTATTTTATTTCTTAATAGTGGCAAACGTCAGATGAAAAAGTATGATGTACTTGCTTGAGATCAAATGCAAGAATTCCATGGCCACGGGAGAACTGAGGATGAAATTACTAACATGTTGTGAGATTTGGTGATGGATCAGAGTTCCTACAGATTTGTGTGTTGCTGTCTGAGGCCTGAAAAATTGGTTGAATTCTGTCCTATGGCATTCTACAGGTGTTTAAAAAAGTAGATAGAAACAGATGCAAATTTTCACCCCATACCTGTGGTACTATGTTGACATAATATACCAAGAACTTTGCTGTGCTCTGCTAGTGTAATTGCCCCAGTTATGATTGCAAAACCTACAACTGTAGGGGAAGAGACAGGGCAGGAGAGTGGAAGGACAGCACAAAGTGCAGTTTTCTCCATCTAAATCAGTGGTTCTCAACCTTTTTAATGCCGCGACCCCAACCGGTCGTAAGTCGAGGACTAAACCGGTCGTAAGTCGAGGACTAAACCGGTCGTAAGTCGAGGACTAAACCGGTCGTACGTTGAGGACTACCCAACCGGTCATAAGTCGAGGACTTTTCCTGCCCGGGAGTGCCGCGCATGCGTGGTTCCGCCCCCTGCGCTGGCCGAGGCGTAGCTGGCAAGCGGCAGAGACGGAGCAGGCCAACCACCAGCTGGCCCATCCCAAGGGAGGTAAGGCACCCGCCGGAAAAGGGGAAAAAAATGGCGGACAAAAAAATGGCGGACAGCCTTGCTTGGCGACCCCCGTGAAATGGTCGATCGACCCCAAATGGGGTCCCAACCCACAGGTTGAGAACCACTGATCTAAATAGAGGCAAGGAACCTCTTAATCAATACTGTACAGCAAAGATCCAATATATTCTTCACTATACTTACAGATGTTCACTGCACCAGCTGCATCATTTGACAATCTGTCAAGAAACAAAACAGAAGTCAAGCATGGGTAAGAATTCAAATATATTCTGAGTATATACAGCTGACTGAAAGAAAACCAATGTTGTTTGACTATTGTTGCAAAGTCATCAAGTCCTTAGGGATACTGAAGGATGAACTTCATGGGAAAGAGGCTCAATGTGCCCACAGAACTAGATGCTAATGGGGATTGGTTTTTTTTTATGGAGTTTGAGGACTTCCACCAAAAAACGGCAAGACCTGTAAAGAGGGTCTGTTGATTATATACCTGGCTCCCTGCTATGTATCAACAGCCCTGCCTGAGCTGGCCGACGTAATAGCCGGGGTGGCGGTTGCGACCCCCAGACTTATGGTCATGGGGGATTTCAACCTGCCATCGGTGGGCGAGGCGTCGGCGGCAGCTCAGGAGTTCTTGGCTTCCATGACGGCCTTGGACTTGACCCAGTTG